TAAAAAAAGAGAAAATGAGAATATGTGGTGAATCAAGTCCATTTTGGGAGCAGGAACTTCCAAATACATCTATTTTGAGATCTGTCCAGATCTACCCAGATCTTTGGCCTCCATAAACTCTCAGGTTAATTATAGATATGATCGTTTTTCAGGTAATGACTCCAAGAATAACTTTTGGTTCCATATACCAAGTTACTTTTGAGGAGTATTACAAAAAGAGAGGGATGATTCTGTTCATATTGGGACCTAGGTGGGCCCCATGGGCTTCAGTAGGCTGGAAACCTGGCTGTTTATCAGAAATGTTGGCAGCTAATTCAGATTTTCAAAAACAAAGCTGTGGACGAAATCAACCCATCTGTGGATTTGATAGCTCTTTGGGCCCTCAAATCCTTTTGTAGAGTGTTCCATTCCATTGCACTCACTTTTCCTTCTCTGTCTGCTGTCAGTTGCAGAGACTCTGAACTTTCACAGTCCTTGATTTGTTCTTCAGAATTATACCTATTGGCAAATAACTTACCTCATTTGCATGTGCTTTTGTTTTTCTCCCTTTATATTTTCAGTGGCTTTTGCTTAATGGCACCTCTCATATGTACTTTCAGCATCAGCATGTTTGGAAATGCCCTTAAAGTTAAAAAAAAGAAGCATGTTACTGATGTACCCCTTACCCATATCTGCACTTGGCTGCTAAGCCCCACATGGGTTGGTCTCTGGTGCTCGGAATCTGTTTTCACACTGACATGACACTTGCTCAGGCCTTTGTAATTTGAAAGTGGAGGGGTAGCTTGTCAAGTGTGGGCCTGTAGCGCCTCCTGAGCATGATGTGTGGCAGGGTGTTTAGCACCAGCCCTTGCCCAGCTTACACTAATCTCTTCTCTTTCTGTAGACTGGAGCACTGCTCAGTGCCTTTGTGCAGCTGTGCCACATTTCCACAACACTGGCAGAAAAGACCTGGGTCCAGCTCTTTCCCAGACTGTGGAAAATTCTGTCTGACAGACAACAGCATGTGAGTATATTTTTTAAATTCTGTTTTGGAAAATGTAGTGTTAGCTTTCCATAAGTATTTATGACAAAATAATCTTGATTAAGTTTCAAAGGATGAGGAAACTACTATTATCTAAGAGTGAATTATTAAAGATATTTGCAGATGCTGTATGAGAGGGTAAAGATGTCGATTTTTGAAGGAAGACCTGAATTAATGTGATCTTTGGTTTCAGGCTCTAGCTGGTGAGATCAGCCCATTCCTGTGCAGTGGCAGTCACCAGGTGCAGCGGGATTGTCAGCCCAGCGCACTGAACTGCTTCGTGGAAGCCATGTCCCAGTGTGTCCCTCCGATCCCCATCAGACCCTGCGTTCTGAAGTACTTGGGGAAAACTCACAACCTCTGGTTCCGCTCCACATTAATGCTGGAACACCAGGCTTTTGAAAAAGGTCTGAGTCTGCAGATTAAGCCGAAGCAAACAACAGAATTTTATGAGCAGGAGAGCATCACTCCACCTCAGCAGGTGAGGCTCCCCCTCATTTGTTAATTACATCTTCCTTGCCATTGACTTCATGGTCTCAGTAAACATCTCCCAAGTTATTTTATTTTCTGTTAATCCTCACTGGAGGATATTTTTCCATTGACGTTTTTTAGATAGAGTGGAAGGGAGGGAAAAAGAGACAGAAAGAGAGAAACATCGATGTGAGAGAGACACATTGATTGGCTGCCTCCTGCGTGACCCAGACCTGGGCCCGGGATCAAACCTGCAACCCAGGTACGTGCTCTTGACCAGGAATCGAACCCATGACTCTTTGGTCAGTAGGGCGACGCTTCACCACTGAGCCAAACTGGCCAGGGCCTCCCTAGTGATTTTAAATTGTAGCAAAGTGAAGTTACTTTATTTTTTAAAAAGTATTTGTCATTAGCACTCAGAAACCATAATCTGTGTTTTCAGGAGATACTGGATTCCCTCGCAGAACTTTATTCTTTGTTACAAGAGGAAGATATGTGGGCTGGTTTATGGCAGAAGCGTTGCAAGTATTCTGAGACAGCAACTGCTATTGCTTATGAGCAGCATGGATTCTTTGAACAGGTAGCCACTGTCGAATGAAATGGCTGGGCTGCATGGTTATAGAACATATAATGTGATACTTTAATGTCCTCAAGTCAGTTCATGTTTACATAAGAAGTTTGGTGTCTTATTTGAAGCATCTGTCCTATACATGAAGGTCCTTTGAAGATTTAGTTTAAGAGGAACATACATGACATGAATATTTTAAATGCTCAGTCCTAAATCCTTTCCTAGTAGAAGCTAATGTGGATGGTTTTTATCTGCACTCATTGGTCCTATTGGAAATGGAAGGTAGATGGCATTTTGTGTTTAAATTTTAATCTTTGTGCTTGTCTTTTCAATGTAGCGTGGGTGGGCCAAGGTCGCAGTATGGTTCTCAGCCCTGTTTGGGACACTGTGCCACAGAAACTCTGGAAGCATAGGTATGGGCTGTGGCCTCTGCTCTTCTCGCTGAAGGACGGAGTGGTTCATACTGGGGCCAGGCAGCCTCCCACTCCTCCATTCTGTGGGGAGTGGTGCACCCTCGGTTTTCCTCCCTCTTTTTCTGCTCTGTAAATAAGGGATTCCAGGGGCAAGTGATTGTAGAGAAGAATGTGAGGGACTCCTGGGTTTATGATCCAACCTGCCCTAAATCATTGAGTAATAGCTGCAGATAGTTACTTAAACAATAGTTTGAAAGCATTATTAACTCTTTTAGGCACAAGAGTCCTATGAAAAGGCAATGGATAAAGCCAAAAAAGAACATGAGAGGAGTAATGCATCCCCTGCTATTTTCCCAGAATACCAGCTTTGGGAGGACCACTGGATTCGGTAAGCCAGACAGGGATGTGTTCTTGTCAGTTAAGAGTCATTTAAGGGCCCTGGCCGGTGTGGCTCAGTTGGTTGGGCATCATCCCATGCACCAAAAGGTTGCTGGTTCAATTCCCAGTTGGGGCACATTGCCCAGGTTTCGGGCTTGATCCCCAGTGGGGGCGTGCAGGAGGCAGCCGATTGATGTTCTCCTCTGACATTGATGTTTCTCTCTCCCTCTCCCTTCTCTCTGTAGAAGACCAATTTAAAAAAAAAAAAAAAGCAAATTAAGGGAACCTATGACAAATCTGAAATGTTCTCATAATGAGTGTTTTTTTTTAAAAGGGAACTTTGCTACTTTCTTCATGGCTCCATAGAGAAAAGAACAAGCAAAAATCTACAAACAGTTTTAAAGACTTGAGTTGTTAAAAATGTCTTTGGAAAACCAATGATTTCTGCCGCTTCACTGCTCTGGTGCTTTGAGCTTTCTGCTGTGTAGTGGGCGATTCTTGGTGTTCCAGGAAGCAGTTCTTCCCAGAGGGCCAATGGACCTTGCAATAGACCAAGCATGGCATCTCACAGAAGCCCACTCTTCTGGGGGTGGGGGGTGGATAAAGTTTTTCTCTTGTAGAATGCAAATGAGTGACCGTCCCTCATGCTTTTTGAATCTGTTGGTTTGTTGATAACTGAATTTACCAAGTCCCTGGTCTTCTAGATGCTCTAAGGAATTGAACCAGTGGGAAGCCTTGACAGAATATGGCCAGTCCAAAGGTCATATAAACCCTTACCTTGTCCTGGAGTGTGCTTGGCGGGTGTCTAACTGGACTGCCATGAAGGAGGCGTTGGTGCAGGTGAGACCTCCCTGCTGACTTATCCACTCTCATGTTATGTTCTCACAGTGATGTGGGTTCCTTTTGCCAAAGCGGTGACTCTCTGGAGATTTCACTTCACTTGGAACAGTGGTTCTCAACCTGTGGGTCGTGACCCCTTTGGGGGTTGAACGACCCTTTCACAGGGGTTACCTGTGACCATCAGAAAACACATATTTCCGATGGTCTTAGGAACCGAGACACCACTTCTCTATCCATCTCTGGGCGGGTCCACCCACCTGCAGATACTCCCACACACAACATGAGGAACAGTATTAAAGGGTCGCGGCATTAGGAAGGTTGAGAACCACTGCCTTAGAACAACCTGGGAATTTTGGCAGATTAAAATTGCTCTCAGGAAGCAAGAATGAATTTTGGTCATCTCTAACACCTTTCTTGAATTTGAATTAAATTATAAATGAAGTGTTCGTGTCAGTCATTCAATTACAGTAGTAAGTATCAGGTGTGGAGACCTTGGTTTACTGGTGGATTTGATTGTGGAAGCACTGCTAGAAGTGAGTACAGCAAAAGTGATTCATACAACCCCAGGGCTTGGCAGATGAGTTGCTGTCAGTAAAAGTTGGTGAATGAACTGGTATTACATGCAAAGTACGTTTTGTATTATGGAAGTGATTGTGGGATAGTGTAAGTGAAGTTGATTCATTAACTTGGTTGAACTCCACATTTAAAAAAATTCAACTCTCTCCTGCTGGGAAGCTTCTGTTGGGCATCATAAGCTATTGGGTAGTGCAGCTTGTGTGTATCATCTGACCCCACAACATGTTGTTATTACTGCCTTATTACTGTCTTAGTGTGCAGCCATTCTCGTTGTTGTTTATATTTTCCTGCTTCTGTGCCCGTCCGTCATATGCTTTGTCAACCCCTGTCCTGCCAGTTTTTGGTGTTGCCGTGTGGTGTTCATGTTAATGGGGCTTAGGGGAAAGGAAGGCAGTCATCTTGCTCTCGCCTACCCCTTTACTCACTGTGGGTTTTCTTAACATTCACGCCAGTGCTTTTCTTTTATTAATGTGGAAGCTGCAAAAGCACATTGAGATCATAGGCCCCTTTCATTGAAATGATGAACCTAAAATTTTAAACATTGTGGCTACAGCACTTATTTCATTACTGATGTTCTTTTAACAAAATATAAAAGATGGAAGAATTTAAATAGTCACAAACTATTAACCACAGAGTAGTTATAGAGCCCAAGTCTTGACTTTCAGGTTGGGATCTGGGAAATTGCTCATTTGATGCAGGGAGTTTGTGTTACTCTGAGAAATAACCAATCACTGTGCTCACTTCTGCAGCACATAGACTGAAATTGGAACAGTACAGAGAAGCGTGGCCCCTGTGCAAGGATGACACGCAAATTCATGAAGCATTTCACATTTTTGGATTAACCAAAGAACTTAAAATGTGTATGTGCATTACCCATGGACACAGACTATAGGACAGCGAAGGCCTGGGACAGAAGGGAACCAGGAGGAGGGGGCAAAAGGAGAAGAAAGGAGGGACATCTGTAATACTCTTCAACAATAAAGATTTTTTAAAAAAGAAATAACCAATCACATAAAGATGAAAATAAAAAACAACAACATATTTTGCTGGCAGAATAAATGCATTTACAGTTGATTATTTATAGCTTATTCTAACTTTTTAAAATCACCTTTCCAGGGTTTCACTTAGCTGGATATATGCACTATCATATTGTCGATAGGTCTGACAAATGAAATTTTTTTTAGCAAAGCCTTGATTATTTTCCCAAAATTGTAAGGCATTTACTGATTAGAAAGAAGTTCAAAGCATACAAACATTCTGAGTAATATTTAGTAAATTAATTTCCAGTGGTCTTTATAGTACTAAATTATTTACTTATTTGCCAGTATTTATTTATTTATTTATTTATTTATTTATTTATTTATTATCCTCACCCGAGGACATTTTTTTTTGTTCAGGTAGAGTGGGAGGGAGGGAGGGGGGGGGAGAGAGAGAGAGAGAGAGAGAGAGAGAGAGAGAAACATCGATGTAAAAGGGACACATCGAGTGGCTGTCACCCGCACGACCGACCAGGGCCGGGGACAAACTGCAACCGAGGTACGTGCCCTTAGCGGGAACTGAACCCAGGCCTCTCGGGACCGCAGGCTGACGCTCTAACTGCTGAGCCAAACCGGCCAGGGCTATTTGCCAGTATTTAAAAGAAAAAACTCAAATTGCTTTTTTATTCTTGTGCTTTATGATTATAGGGCTGTTTGCAGTAGTCCATTTCTTGGTATGATTTAGTAGACAGGGTAATTTTTTTTCATTGGGGAAAAATTAAAAGAAATGCCATTGCTCTCAGTGTTGCAGAGGATAAATGTTATAATTGATCAAAAAACAAAAAAACAATTAACCTATATTAAATAGTGTTAAGTCCAGACAATATGAGATTGGTATAATTTTAGAGGGTCATATTGGAAGCAGATGTATTCACAAGTTTGCCTTCCTGAATTTCGTCATCATTGGATTCTTGAGATCTACGAGGAGCCAAGCATGTGAGTGTTTTTAGAAAGAGTAAGAAGTCAAAACAAGCCAAGGTGTAGAATGTAAGATGGCATTGTTATAACTTTACATCATTTGGGCAGATAGCATTAAGGCACTGAAATGTGTATAATTTTTGTTATTAGGTCCCAAAAGTGCTTCAGCGTGAATGTTTATTGATTTTGTTTTACAGCAAGTCCTATGCAGTTTCTTCAACAGAGATATCCTTTCATTTTCTTATACACAGAGATTATTTTTGGAAAGACTTTAATTTTTTTTATCATTTAAATGCTCTGTAAGAGATTGATAATATGCTGTGAGTTCTAATGCTTTCTCTAGAAGGTGGGCTTCCAGAGACACACTAGGATCCTTCACCTGGCTGTAGCTGTGTGTGTGTCAGCAAGTATTAGGGTTAAAGAGGTTAAATGTGGCGGCTCCATGCTCAGTCTGTATTCATAGTAGAACTGATAACCGAGTTATAAGAAATATAGGGAAAATTTTGTGGTAGATAATGAAGTGTGGCTTTTAAATGACAGTAAAATTTATGAATGTTCAGTCATATTCTTATAAACCTGTATCACTGCCTTCTGCTTCCTTGTATAATGTAGAACAAATTAGATTCATTTCCCAGAATAACAATTAAATTAGAAACAATTCATAATTTTATTGATATTTATCAGTGGAGATGAACATATATTTAATACTTTAAAACTTCACTGGCTGATTTTGTAGCCAAGTGATAGTTGTTGATCTGGGCTATCATAGCAGTGGTGATCAGTTTGCTCTTTTTTGGAACTACTGATACCTTAAAGCAGGTGTAGAATGTCTGTACCGCAGGCCGTTTAAGGCCTGTGAAATCAATGCCAGCTAACATCACACTCCTCACCAAATTGGCTTGACCAAATATAGCAGGCTAATTTTTAATTTGATAATTTTGTATGGCCTGGGAATGATGTTATACATCCATATGGCCCTTGGCAGAAAAAGATTCCCCACCTCTGGTTTAAAGCAAGAAACCTGTGGCATGCCATCATAGCTAGAGAGATTGACCACAGACTGGTATTTGGAAAAGGAGAGTATCCAGAAAAAGCAGTAGAAACATATAACTTCTCTAAAGGAAATAAATGTTCGTTTATAGCTTAACTTCTGCTTATTTTGCAGATTTACTACAAAAAACATTGATTTTTTCCTTTTTGACTCTATTGAGAGGAGGAATGCCCATAGCTTCCTATGTAATGTTCTTTACTACCAGGTGGAAGTAAGTTGTCCCAAGGAGATGGCTTGGAAAGTAAACATGTACCGTGGATACCTGGCTATCTGCCACCCTGAGGAGCAACAGCTCAGCTTCATCGAACGCCTGGTGGAAATGGCTAGCAGCTTGGCTATCCGTGAGTGGCGGCGGTTGCCCCATGTGGTGTCCCATGTGCACACACCTCTTCTCCAGGTGGGTATGGTGCGTTGATGTGAGCAGTCTCACGGGCTTATCATAGCAGAGAACCTCTTGTTCAGGTGTAGATCCGTAAACTGAGCTGGATGGCACAGGAAACTCCTTCTACTTGTCTTTTCCTTTCCCATTTAAACTCATCCTCAGTGGAAAGAAGGCTAGAGTGAAAATGTGGACTAAAATGTTGCTTCTCATTTTCTGATCTTCCAAGGGATTTAACTGACAGAGAGATCCTCAGGAGTGATTTTGATTATTTGCATTTTTGCTTTACAGATTTTCTTTAGTGTCTACTATACCACCATCAGTACGATGCCACTGTTCAGTTAGAAAGAACTGTCATCCTCTGAAACTTTTTTTTTTTTTTGTTAATCCTCACATGAGGATATTTTTCCATTGATTTTCAGATAGGGAGGGAGGAACAGAGAGAGAGAGAGAGAGAGAGAGAGAGAGAGAAAGATCCGCGTGAGAGAGATACGTTGATTTATTGCCTTACCTACGATCCCAACTGGGGCCAGGGATTGAACCTGCAACCCAGGTATGTGCCCTTGACTGGAAATTGAACCTGAGACCCTGTGGTGCACAGGCTGATGCTCTAACTGCTGAGCCAAACTGGTCAGGGCTTGAAACTTTTTATCTTCACCCAAGGATATGTTTTGTAAGAGAGGAAGGGAGAGAGAAACATCTATCGTTTGCCTCCTGTACCTTGCTATATGCCCTGACTGGGAATTGAACCTGCAACCTTTTGGTGTATGGGACCACACTCCAACCAACTGAGCCACCTGCCCAGGGCATCCTCTGAAACTCCGTAGGACTGGTAGTTAAATAGACTATGCCTTGGCTTCTTCCTTTGTGTATCATCTTTACTGTTTGACAGTTTGTTCTAGCCACATGAACCACCCTTCAATATCAAACAACTTAGGTGAGAAATCTTACAGAAAACAGTGTCCATAAGAATGATTTCAGGAAACCATTGAACATTTCAGTTTGATATTTTGATAACTATTTTTAGGTTCAGGATCACATTTATATTGAATTTGAGACAAGTAAGGAAGGTGGGGAGAATGAGTTATAAAAGTGCTTATTTTTATGTTGTTGTTTTTTTAAGAGAAGGAGGAAGGAGGAGAGAGAGAGAGACATCGATGTGAGAGAGCCACATCAGTCGGTTGCCTCAAACTTAAAACCTTGGTGTGTGTTCTGATCAAGAATTGAACCTGTGACCCTCCAGTGCATGGGATGATGCTCCAACCAACCGAGCCACACTGGCCAGGGTGAGAAGTGCTTATTTTTAAAAAATGGTTGTAGGTTTGATTCCCAGTCAAAGGCACGTACTTGGGTTGCAAGTTTGGTCCCGGGCCCCAGTCAAGGTTGTATGCGAGGCAACCAATCAGTGTACCTCTCTCATATCCTTGTTTCTCTTTCTCTCCCTCCCTTCCACTCTATCAATAAATCAATGGAACAATATCCTTGGGTGAGGATTAATTAAAAAATCAAACCAAATAAGTACCTTTTGCCCAAATTTAATATATGTTAATGCCTAATTCTTAAAAATTTATTATATTAAGTTTTAAAGCACATATTTTGAACTATACGTTTTGTCTTTTCCCCCTCCTCCTCCAAATACCACCAAAACAAAAAAATTAGTGAAGGGAAAAGTCTTGGTGCTTTTGCACAGTACCATTCCCATTTTACTGATTTTAGTCCCCCAAGTTTTGATAGATAATTTAGATGATCTGTCTATCCCTTTGGCACACTGAAAACACCAGCACTGGATCCTGGGTCAAACACTAATGTGGAAGAAACACAGAATCTGAGCCTTGTTTCGGAGAGAGCAACTTGAATATCATACTGCTCAGGCAGATCTCCCACAATGCAGGAGAAGGGCCTCTGAAGTTTCTCTCCGTGGAAGCAGTGACTACAGTGGGGATTGGTCATAAGCAACTTTCAGGATTGGGGAAATTCAACACAGACTTGCAACAATGTAGGGAGCATTTAAGAAAAAGCTGTGTTTTAATAAGAATAGCAAACTTTGTAGCATTTAATTGTCCTACTCCCATTCTTCTCTCTCCATCTCCACAGTATTGTTGAAAACCAACAAGTTCCAACCATAGGAGCTGTGAAACCAGTCGCCTAGCAGCTACTGGTGGAGGGCAGAACACATTTAGAGACTAAAAAAAAACCCCAGTCCCAGAAAACTGGCACTATTTGACCAGCATTGCATCTCCCTTGAAAAGCCCTGTTTACAGGGTTTATCTCTATTTGACCTGACTCAGAGCCCACTCAGTGAGGAAGGTAGTATCTGGGGGCATTTGTCAGAAACAATCAGTGGCAGTTGTTGAACATCACAGTTACCTGACGCAGCAATACCAGCTGGGGCACAGAAGAGACTGGCCAAGTAAAGGAGATATTAGGGAATAAGATGTCCATAGAGGACT